GAAAGCGTGACCGATTTCTATCATGTAGAGTGACGATGTTTTGATATTGCGATTAATATCTTTCATGATCGACATGCATTAACAATAGATAGAAATTCATATACCAAAATATATATAGACTAATTCCTTCTTTTACAATACTATCAACACCATTATGTTTTACATTTTAATCTTGCATGGATTGCGCTAATAGCTTTTGTTATTGGCACCAAAAAAAGCTTAATTTTAACCAAAAGTCTTACATTTCCTCTGCCCTCTTGATGAACTTGATTTTTATCATTAAAAATTGATTAGGCTTCTATGTCATATAGGAAAAATACAAGTTTTGGTTAAACTTGTTCAATAGCGGAATTATTTATATTTATTAAATGATCATGAATTTTAGAATATCCTATATACACATATATAACAAATAAAATCAAAACATTTTTGCCCAGGTAAATGTCACCTAGTACGCACATGTATTTACAGACAAAAACAAAGGAAAAGAAAAGAAATTCATCAATAAACAGATAATAACACAAATGGGGACAAAATTGAAGAATACAAAATTATTAAGGACAAAAAAAAATGTTTTGTTTTGTTTTGTTGTTTTCTGATATTAGAATGACACAGCATTTTTATACGATACAAATAGTGCAGAATGATGAAAAGAATTTTAAAAAAATCAAACAAAAAAATTTATAGCACACCTTTTGATAGTTATGCATCGAGAATATTATCTCGACTCTGGCGTCTATATCCAAGATTTTCTGCATATCTTCTGTGTTGAATCTCTTCAAGTCGTGATCGAAATTCAACAATAACTCGAAACTAAAAAAAAACAAAAACAAAGAGCAATTTTATAAAAACAAAAAAGGCTAATAATCGCAAAAACAAACCTCTGAATTAAGTCGATCAACACTTTTTCGAAGCATATATCTAGCAAATGCTGGCGGTGGTTCAGCAACCACTGTAGCATTAGTTAATTGACCAATTGTAGAATATCTTGGAAATACATCACCACCAATAACATCTCGATCACGTTTACCAGTCGCTGCTCGTTTCTTTTCACGTTTCTTACCAAATTTTTTATGATCTCCTTCTCCTTCTTCTTCTTC